CCGGTATAAATTCTTTCCGAGAAACTTCAGCGATACAAGTCCCTTCTTGATTAAACCAGTTTATTCTTTCTCGATACAAACTTTTAGTACACAGTAATTCCACAAGTCAGTACGTTTCTCGTCACTTTAAACTTAACAACTTTTATAATACACGCTATAAATCACAGCGATTCACAATCTCGATAACTTTGCTCTCTACGAGTGCAAAACACACACTAGCTCGAAACAGAATCGTAAATTACCCGATACTCACCGTAACTACTGTTCGCTTTATCATCCCCCGGCTTTTTTCTGCCAGGCCTATATACTAACAAAGAGGCGTCTCCAACATTCGCGGAGTTCCCCGATTATTCGAGAAATTCACCACGCATGCTACCAGAGTCACGTGACTTCAGCTGTCGTGACATAGTAAACCTGCCCTAACGCAGTTCAGAAATGCTGAAACATTACCTTTGAAATATTCTAAAACTAAGTTACATTTATATTTTTTAATGAATGTAAACATCTAGAAATACTTTTCCTCTGTGATTTACACATTTCGTTGTCTACGATTACAATTCGTTTGTACTGTGCTAGAAATGTTATATTTAAAGAAGTACTGTTTGTTTGTTTGTTAGTTTGTTTGAATTTCTGCACTAGCCGTCCCTAATTTAGCAGTGTAAGACTAGAGGGAAGGCAGCTAGTCATCACCACCCACCGTCAACTCTTGGGCTGCTCTTTTACCAACGAATAGTGGGATTGACCGTCACATTATAACACCCCCACGGCTGAAAGGGCGAACATGTTTGGTGTGACGGGGATTCGAACCCGCGACCCTCAGATTGCGAGTCGAGTGCCTTAACCACCTGGCCTTGCCGTGCCAGAAGTACTGTTACGATAAAGATACTAATTTGGCCCCAAATTTGGTCCAGGTGACGGTTACTCCATCTAGTATTAATTAAAGTTATAAATCAAAACTTCTCAGATGAATAATTCGTATGAGATATTTTATGGAATTCTGAATATCAATATTTAGGTTGTCGAATGAATTTCACGAGCAAACGACAATCTTCAGGATTCCCAGTCTCAGATAGTTCTATCTGTGGAATCTGATCCTTCACTGTATAGGAGCAGCATTGACATAAATAAGTAACTTAATGAAATTTTCAAATAAAACAATATTTTCTTACGTGATATATATTAAATATAATATATAAAATCGATCCTTATCGTCGCAAGTCCACTTTAGAATGTCCCCCTAGGGATCTGCGGATAACAGGTTGAGTACCACAGATCTAGCCCATTAGGATGTATTTGTTTAAAATAGTATACGTTATAATGAAAATTTCAGAATATCCTTTGTCCTAGATATGCTGTAACGGCAAGAAAAATGGTGTTTAACCCTAAATATACTGTAATGACAAGTATAAAATCTGCCTAGCCCCAAATATTCTATAATGAGAAAAACAAAATCTGCCTAGTCCCAAATATTCTATAATGAGAAAAACAAAATCTGCCTAGTCCCAAACATTCTGTAATGGGAAAAATAAAATCTGCATAGCCCCAAATATTCTATAATGAGAAAAACAAAATCTGCCTAGTCCCAAACATTCTGTAATGGGAAAAATAAAATCTGCATAGCCCCAAATATGCTGTAACCACACGAACAAAGTCTGCTTAGCCCTAAATACACACACCTAAAATAGACTGCATCAGATTTCTTTCTGAAACCACAGTCGAAAATATTCAACTATTCTATTTAAAAAGAAACAAATCAAAAAATGATAAAACTCTAGCGCTTGCAACAGTGGGACCTACCTTTGTCCCTAATGAAGAACGGTCCACTTGTTTTCTTTCAATATGTCACATTCTCTGACTTTCCTCCAAAAAACAAGCAGTCAAATTATTTCGTGTCTAAACTCAACTGTTACACTTTATTTGGCCTACAAGAATCAGCATCTATTTATTTATACTTCCAAGCTAACGAATTTACAACACCCTATCAACTTCAAAGTCATTTCTATATTACAATTTTATTCTAACAATGTCACAGTCAATCCAAAATATCGTAGTTAGATTATTATACTATAGATTTCTTTTTCTTTTCACCAAAGGTAAAATTGAAAATGTAATCTGTGACGTAAAGACCTGATGCATTTTTTGATTGGCCACACTCTCTGTTGTGTATTGCAGTTTCACCTATTCTAGAGTCATCAGCAGGTTGGGTCAGCAAACAAAAGAAATACAGTTAGGCCTCTTATAATAGTGTTGTACATGTATTTATGGGATTTTTGGATCCTTTTTAACTCACTATGTAGTGAATTAAAAAGGACTCAAACCCCATAAGTATCGTTTTTAAATGTTTACAACAATTGGCCATAACATGAGTATTGTTACCTGATATTTTGGCCACAGATATTTTGATAAGTTTAAACAAGGTCTGAACAGATATGAGTGTTACACTTTGCCACTCCAAATCCTTGAGATAATACTGTGTGACAATAAAATCGTTTCTGTGTTTATAGGTTTTGATGAACAGTAATAGTCTTAACTTTATTTTACACCAAACTTGTCCATTTACGATATATTATTTTCTGCTAACGTGATTGAAATCTGAATATCTTGTGTTTGTTATGTTTGGTAATATAAAGCTTTTTAACATATCGCACAGCGTTCAGGTCATAAACATAAGTCAGGTCATACACAGCCAGAATTTAGGTCAAGTCATGTCAGGTCAGACACAGCCAGAATTTAGGTTAAGTCATTTCAGGTTAGATACAGCCAGTATTCGGGTTAGACTTGTCAGATACAACTGGTCAGGTGAGACACAGCCAGTATTCACGTCAGGTCAAGTAAGGTACTGTACGTTAGATCAGACACAGCCAGCATTCAGGTTAACTCAGGTGAGGTCGGATACAGTTAGCATTAAAGTCAAGTCAGGTCATACACAGTATTAAAGTCAAATTAGACATAATAGGATGGATCACTGACCTCAAGGTTCCGAGGTCCTAAAAATCACGTGACCATTACTAAAGATGATTATAACAACGTTGATGGTCTGTTACTGCCTATTTTTTACATATTTTCCAACAAGCATTATTGCAGTTAGGTATTACGTATTAGCGCGTTCATTCAAAGTCTACGTAGACGCGCTTATTATTCCATGAAAAAGGTGACGCGCTTATTAAGTTAGATAACCTAGTTTTGAAAGCCGCTCACAGAAGGAAATTTATGAAAACATTAAAAATTAATTATTCCTTGGGCGTCAATAAATATGATAGGCCTCGTGGAAGCTCCGTGAATGATGATTTTTATCATTAGAACAAAAAATAATGTACTTTAGATTTTTAATCAACGTAATTGTATTTTGACGATGTCCTTGTGCGTTTTTGAGTTGCTGTGAACACGAGTAGTCACTTGTGAGAAATTATTTTGGTTAGACTTTCTGTACTTTGTATCACAAGTAAAACATTAAATTATTCTGTACCACAAGTGAAACATTAGATTATTCTGTACCACAAGTGAAACATTAGATTATTCTGTACCACAAGTGAAACATTAGATTATTCTGTACCACAAGTGAAACATTAGATTATCAAGTATCACAAGTGAAACATTAGATTATCAAGTATCACAAGTGGAACATTAGATTATCAAGTATCACAAGTGAACCATTAGATTATCAAGTATCACAAGTGAACCATTAGATTATCAAGTATCACAAGTGGAACATTAGATTATCAAGTATCACAAATGAAACATTAGATTATCAAGTATCACAAGTGGAACATTAGATTATCAAGTATCACAAATGAAACATTAGATTATCAAGTATCACAAGTGGAACATTAGATTATCAAGTATCACAAGTGGA